GTGAAGAGATACAGGCAGTGGTGTCCTAAGGAAGATTCACCTAGTTTTATGCTCAGCAAAGAGATTACCTTTGACGAATATGTTATGTTTCGTAAGAGGAGTAATGGATCAATTGGGGAGAAAGATTTAGACAGTGTTCAGAAACAGGTGAAGCTTCAAGAAGAACCTAGAGATAAGAGTATAGTAGATGTAACAACGTCTGCAGAGTCGCTAGATTCCATAGCAACAGATAGTTGTTCCGAGGTTAGAGTTGATGAAGCTTTGAGGTGGTCAGTGGAGGTGGATGAGATAGAGCGACAGTTATATGCAGATATTGAAACTGATAATTTGGGGACAATAGAGATGACTTTGGGTATGAAGATGCAGAAAGAGATTGCTGGAGTGTTGCGAGTGACTCGGATGAGTTATGCCAGGAAAACGTCAAAGCACTTCAACATACAGTTAAGAAATTCTGTAAGTTACCCACTTGCTGCATATTATAAATTATCTAGTCTGTCACAGTGTACTTTGATGGAGGTGGAGCACTTGTCCCATACTTTTCATGCTAGTACTGTTGCTTGCTTGAATTATGTCATAGATAGTACTAGGATTGATCTATCACATGCAATCAAGAGAATGTATATAATTAATCTAGGTATACATTGTGATGCTATAAAGTGGATCCTCCTGATTTTATGAGGGACAATAGACGTTGAGATATGCCATAGATAGTACTAGGATTGATCTATCACATGCAATCAGGAGAATGTATATAATTAATCCAAGTATACATTGTGATGCTATAAAGTGGATCCTCCTGATTTTATGAGGGATGATAGACATTGAGATATATTCTAGAGGATGCAGTTAAGGTAATGTGGCAGTAACTAGGATTATGAACTCGGGTCATGCAGGGAGCCTAATAGATGGTCGATTACTAAGCAATTATGCATTTACTTCTGTTAGTTGTGCTCTGAGCTGGAAGGCGTCCTTGGGAGGCACTATGGTTTCGTCGACAATTGAGACTAGAAACATGGTAACAACGGAAGGAGTTGAAGAAGCGGTGTGATATAATGACTTGGTTAGTGATGTTGACGTTAGACATCCGGTTGATGTGATGTTCGATGGAGGTTGGAGATATCACTGGATAATCGAGTTAATTGGTTACCGAAATTTCTGCGTCAAAAATAGCATTTCGAAAAAGGATGTGATCGTAAAGAAGTTTATTGCGGTGGAGGATCCTGCGGACATGTGAACCGACGTCATTCCTCTAGACAAGTTCAAGTATTGCTTGAGCTTGATAGACGTCTGTAATGATTGAGCGCCCATCTGGGCGTTGGGAGAGTTGGCGTGGATAATGAATACTATGACTTGGCTTCAAACATCGAACCAAGGTAAAAATTGTTATATTTGTCTTGAGTTTAAGTCGTGTCCGGAACTCGATCTATCGGAAGATTTTTTGATTTGTTCAAAATCTGGTGTGCATCTTTTAATCCTACGCAAATCTGGATTGGAGATCACGTTCCAAGGCAAAAAAATGGGACCGAAAAAGATTTGAAGCGAAGTAATTGGGTAGCATCTCCTATTACTGTTTGTGCTGAGACTCAACCCCATCTCTTTTTTATATAATTGGTGTCTAGTGGTTTGTTTTGGTAGATGATGGGGGTGAAAGTTCCTGGAAAAATCAAGTATTGATGAGGCCTGCCACGAGCGAGGGTCTTCACACCCTCGCTTGTGGCCGACGAGGGCGTGACGGCCCTCACTTGTGGCGGGTGAGGGCCACAATGCCCTCGTCGGCCAACAGCCAAGGGTTTCGACCCTTACATGTTAGGCCTCATCAATCCATGTGACCTTGGAAGGACCGATGAGGGCATTTCTTAACTATTAAGCAAGCAATTATAGCCATTGGATTAATCTAATGGTTGACATTCAAACACGAGGGAAGATATGTGAAGTAGGGGTGTCAAAACCAAACACAATACCCGAACCGAAACACGAACTGACCCGACCCGAACACGAAATTTTCTTATTGGGTCGAGTTGGGTGTCTAACTTGTTTGGGTAACAATAAAAAGAATTGGGTATTGCTTGGATCTATTGGGCTTGGGTACCCAAGCCCAACCCAAACAATAACCAAAACCCTTAAGATCCTTCCTCCTCCCAGGACCTTGCCGCCGACTTCTTCTTCCCCGGGTTATGCCGCGCCGGCGGCAGCGGCAACATCACCCTCAGCGGCGTCGCCGAGATCGCTGCCCGACCAGATCTCACGGCCGTTGCGCCGCTGCCTCCAGAAATACCGCATCATCCCCGAGTTCTGCACGGCGAAATCATCGACCGGCGACAACAATGCCGCCGCCGCCGTCTCTGTCCCTGGGAACCACCACCGCAAGCGGTCCTCAGTTGCCGATAGCGCGATTCCGAAGCTGCGAGGTCCAAACCTTTGAGCGCGATGTGGAAGCTGAACCAGTCAGTGTTCGGCGGGGAAGAAGGTGGCGGCCAAGATGAGCTCTTGGCTGAAGATTCAGATGGTGTCTGCAATCTCTCTCCTATGCAGGTCGAGTTCGCTCTTTTCCTTCCTCTTTTCGACCGATTCTGCGCATACCCATGTCTTGTTTGATCCTCTCCGTTGATGCCGTTCCTGGGTTTTCTCTCTTTTCTTCCGGGGTGGGTGTGGAGCAGAGAGTCTACGCCTTCGCAGCGTGTCTTCTCGTCGGCCTCGTATGTATGTTCCTGGTAAGATCGCGCGCGCCATCTCAGTGGGTTCGATTCAACTGCTCATTGCTGCGTGTCGAAATTCTTGTGCTTTCTGGGTGATTCACGGTTCGGTCGTTTTGCAAGCCTGCTTTCCATTTTGCCACAATGCTTACTGCTTTTCTGCTTTCTGATTATCATGTTGAATGTTGCGCCATTGTCTTTTGCTTACTCGGAAATGAAAGATTGAGGGCGAGAATGTTTGGTTGCTTGTTTGGGAACCATTCATGGTGATGGATGAGTTCCAAATGTGATATTTTTCCGCCTTTTGGAATTTAACCCATTTGCTGAAACTTGGAACTGCAATACTAAGATTTATTTCCTTTGACTTCGCTTCTCGCAGTCATTGATTGTGTTTGCGAAGCCTATCAAATTCGCAGTTGTTTTCACCTGCGGCAATCTTTTGGCCGTTGGCAGGTGAGTGAAATTTGGTCATTGAGCAGAAAATAATGTCTTAGCTCCATATACATAGTTCTAATATTTCGTATGTTGCTTTCGCCCATCAAAGTTATGCCCGACATTTTATTCGTTAATTTGTCTAATTCAGTTTATATGAGAAAGCTCACTTTTACCCTCTCTCTGGTGCTTTCCCTGTGACTAGTCCCAATGTTGCGTCTCTCTCTATCTCTATCTCTGAATTCATTGTTTGAAACACAAAACCCGCCCCGACCCGACCCAACATGACCCGACCCGATCGTGTAGCTTTATCTTGTTCATGTCTTGTCTCGGGTCGGGTCGAACACATATGTCCAATATTTGGGTCGGGTCGGGTATTATGAAAACCCGATCCGACCCGACCCATTGACACCCCTAATGTGAAGAGGCTAACGGGGAGAGTAATAGAGAGAGACGGAGGGAAGGAATAGGATATTGAAAATCGCTGTTTTTATTTTCTTTCTCTCAGAGAAAACAATGTCAGTATCTTTGGCTTTGACCGACAACGAAATGGGATATTCTACCCACACTGCTCGACAGAGCAACTCAAGTACGAGGAAGGTCGGAGGGTCAATTGCGGAATTGACGAGGGGAACATTCCACGACTCGGGCACCACGCAACGAATGCGCGTGTCGGTTTTTTTTTTAAAAGTTTTGTTTTTTTTTTGGTTCAAAGCGAAACATTCTCGTTAAGTAGCAAAACTAGAAGAGCAATAACGATTAGCGTCTAAACATAATAGAAGTGTATCTGTTATTGACAAGCTCCTAGTTTGTCGAGAATTTCTTTGACCGATGACGAATATGCAAATAAAGATTCGTCTTCACACGACTAGAGAAAAGAAATTCTTGAGTTTAGAATTGCAGCATGGCCTTATTTGTTGTGAACGAAATTGGATGTGATTAGAAATTTGCAATAATCGAATAATCGGTCACTCTACCGTTTCGTGCATGTAGCATTTTCACGGAGATAGGAATCAAGGTATACATATGGTAATGTTTGATTCAATATCGAGAGAAAATCATCTCAAGGCTTAAAAGATGCACTCTACCGTATGTGTATATGGGTGCAAATATACGATAGGATTGCTAATTCTAACGACAATTTTGGAAACTAAGCGTAGATGACTCCTTTAATGAAAAGAACTAAAACGACGACTCTTATAGTCATTCGACTTGATTGCATAAAACTTCCGGCTCGAAGGTTCATTTTAATCGATAAGGATGCAAAGCTAGAAACAAGACAATAGTGTTGGAGAGGGAGAGTGCAATTAGAAATGGTATGTCCTTCGAGCTCCGTTGAGGGCGTCACCGGCAAAGCTACGGCGGCGGTCGGAGGAGCAATCAAGTCATGGGCGGAAGATTAAAAGAGGGAAACGAGGGATTCCGAGAGACGGCGTGATCAGATAAATATGTATGAAAAGAAAAGAGGATGATTTTCTGTTAAGATCAGGTGGAATCGGAGAGAGAGGAGCAGAGCAGAGCCAGCAAAAGTGCCATTCTCCTTTGGTTGAGATCAACCAAAGTCAGTGCCACCAACCCAAGTCAAGTCAGACGATCGTGTACCTTCGGGACGAGGGAGGAGCAGAGCAGAGCCAAGCGCAGCGCAGCGGGACCCAGTCCTGCCACGTGGGCATCTCAAAAAACAAATGGTGGGTCTTCGGAAGGATGGCGCCTTTCGGTTCGGGGATCCAACCGCGGTTCATCCTCACCATCTCCGCCAACCGAAGTGAGAAGTGACAGTAAAATAAAGGAGGTTAACGCCGGGGACACTTTCCACCAACCCAAATCAATCTATTTAAAGACCAACACTTTGCTAAATCTCAGTCTTCACCGTTTCCTCTCGTTCTTCGCGATTCTCATCTCTTCCTCCCCATCATCTTCTATATCTTCCCCCTATAATTCCCTCCGTCTAACGATCTCCACTCCCTTCCCATTCTCCCTCTTTACCCTCCTACGCTTCCCCTCTACCATCACCACCAACAAGAAAGCGCCCTCAAATGGCGTCCCGCTACGAACTGGAGGTGACTGTGTCGTCTGCCAAGGACCTTAAGAACGTGAACTGGCGCCACGGCCCGACCCGCCCCTACGCCGTCGTCTGGGTCGACCCCAACGACAAGCGCTCCACCATGGTCGACGACCAGGGCGGCACGTTTCCCTTCTGGGGCCAGGCCTTCGTCATCTTCTTGTCCCCCGGCCCCATCGACGTCGCCAACCTCTACATCGACGTTGTCCACGCCGGCCCCGAGGAGGACACCGAGCCCTTTATCGGATCGGCTCGGGTCAGCCTCCGCAACATCCTCGACGAAGCCGGCCTGGGCGTGCCTCTCGGGCGCGGCCTCCTGCTGAAGCGCCCCTCGGGCCGGCCGCATGGTAGGATCGAGGTCGAGGTCTGCGTGAGGGAGACGCGTTTCCGTGCGCCTCCCTACGGGGTCCCGCCGGCGACGAGGGAGTACGCGCCCCCGGTGTTCGGCATCGGTTGCGCGCCTCCGCAGCCTAACCCGCACTACACCACGGTGCCTCCGGCTGGTGGCTACGCCAACGTGCCGTACGCCGCGTACAACGCGCCGCCGCTGCAGCACAGGTACGGCGGGGAGCCGCCGGCGGCGTACGGCCAGCACAGGCAGGAGGAGGAGGAGAGCAACTTCGAGGGGATGAGGACCGCACTGGCCGTGGGCGTGGGCGTGGGGGTCGGGGTGGGGCTTGGGGCTGTCGCTGTTCTCGCCCTCGCCGGGTGGTTGGACTCCTCGGACGACAGGAACGTCGATGAAGCGGCGTAAAGGGTGGAGGAGGAGCTCAGCTATGACGAGGATGATTTGTAGTGAGTCCGGTCTTGTTTTGTTTTCCATGAAGTTTCGTTTTCTGTTCTAGTTTTCTTTGCGGATGGCGTCGGAGGGCTGAAAACGGTTCAGATACCGAACCCAACCAAAACTTTTGGGTATGGCTCGTCGGTTCAGGTCGGATTTCGCGTCCCTCCTTTTGTCTCTGTGTTTTTTTATTTTTTTTTTGGGTGGCCCACATGTAGTGGTGGTGAATCAGAACTGAGTTTTCTTTCACCAATTTTGCCGAATCAGCAAAAATACTTGATTTTTCCAGGAACTTTCATCCCCATCATCTTACCAAAACAAACCACTAAACACCAATTATATTAAATAAATGGCGTTGAGTATCAGCACAAACAGTAATAGGGGATGCTACCCAATTACTTCGCTTCAAATCATTTTCGGTCCCATTTCTTTGTCTTGGAACGTGATCGCGACGGCATTTGCCCAATTTTCCTTCAATATGATAGAAATAACGTCGAGTAAGCTACAGAATCACCAGTACCGTGCTACTCTGGTTTGAACAGAGATATAAGAGATCCACAAAAACATCAACGAATTAATCAAATATCAATGATTGACTGGACCTGATTACGATGTTGCTCTCTTTAACTTAGGCCATTTATCGAAGGAGCTAAGATGTCCAATTATGACAAACGGGCTTTCAAGTAGGGCCGAATTAGAACTTGCACCTCAAGCCGTTCTCGATTCTCCTACCGCTGGCTAATAGAATGGATCCCCGCTTCCACATTATCATCATCTTCAATCTATAAAGTTGGCCGACCAAAAAAATTCTATAAAGTTGAGTTTTCCCCATCTTCAATCTATAAAGTTGGCCGACCAAAAAAATTCTATAAAGTTGAGTTTTCCCTACTGATTCTGCCAAGCCCGTTCCCTTGGCTGTGATTTCAATGTATAGCAGAAAGGTACAATGGGAATCTCATTAATCCACTTATGAGCGTCACTAATTAGCCTACGAGACATTTGGCTTTACCCACACTTGGATCATTGCACTGGACGAGGATCCTCGCCCCAGATCGATTCACTGGGCGAGCATCCTTGGCCGAGAGCAAGTATGATGCCTGCAGCCACGATAATGCTTGGCGGACTGTGAAGAGTGATTATTAAGAGGGCAATCCAAAACTCCAATTCGAAGCAATAAAGCTAACACGTGAGTAATAAAAATGACCTGGAAGTTACGGTACATTCAGACGATATTAAGATGCACAAGAAGCAACCTTCGGCACATCACGAGGATATCATATCACTTCCTCACCACAGGTCTCCAATCAAACAAAGCTTCAACAAACTCTAAACAATTGACTCACAGAGAGAAAACACCCTCTTCCGAATAAACACGTGATCTAGGAGCAAATACTGCAGTCAAGGACACCCAAAGCAAGATCTGCAGACAATTATGCCTCTGAAGCGGTGGTGCTATTCTCCTCCTGGTCGAGCATTTTCACAATTTGGGCCACGCCATCAGCAATTTCGTTCTGGATGACCCCATCAGGCACATCAAAAGTCCTCCTCCTCATGGAAAGTGATTTTCCTGGGGGCTGGGGGTCCACCACATCGAGCATTGCTTCCAGCTCGTCTATCATCGATTTCTTTGCAGCCCGCACCATTAAATCAGATCCCTGACATTAGAAGGGGAAAAACACGAAACCTGTTTAAGGGACTTATAGACAAGTTTTGCATAATGTGATCACCTACCTAGAGTCGAAGATGAGGAATAGAGCAATACAAAAACAAGACAAACATATGATTCCCCGACCACACCCCATCTGTGCCTATGGGCCACGCATTTATCTACCAGTACAACACCCTAATCATTCCACCGATAAATCAAACTTATTCGGACAAATCTGCTAAAGACTAAAGGAAACATAACGAACCGATCGCAAATAACAGTTACATCAGATTAAAACAATCAGTTTTTCTCCAGTTTGGTTCTAAAGTTGCCAATATGCTCAAGATTTGATTTCTATTCGGGTTTTGTCATTGGGAATTGAAACCCCAGAAACAAAGGGCCACATATCTATGTACATACGCAAGCACCCTGCCTCCACTTTCTAAATGGATATCCTCTGCCCGCACCATAACATCAGCTAGCTGGCCCTTTTCTTCAACAAAGCCTCCACCACTAACTCTGGTTATAGCCATTCTCATTTGATAAAGAAAGATATACTGCTCCAAAAGATCAAGGGCTCTTCCCACTTCTTACTCATACGCCGAGTAAAATGAAGTCACACATAGGTGCATCCGTGAAAAGAGAAGATTGGCATTTGCTATTTTCCTATGCAAGACAAAGGGATACAAACTAAACTGATAACCCCTTAGCATTTTCTCAGTACAAAGCATCTGAGCTCTTTCGTGTTTCAACTGAACCCAAAAGCAACCTGGTAAACACAAAAAATTTTGCCACCCTTATCTTGCACCTCTTCTCTACCTTATCCTTCCCTCCTTCATCCCAGTCAAAGACACCCAAAGAGGGGAGAGAGAAAGTTTCACCGGACAAAGGAAGAGGATCAAACATGAAATCCATCATTTGTGGCTTTCAGTGGGATAGCCCGTTTCCTTCCCCAGTTAAAAAACACTGAGCAGAGGCATCAAAGTATTTGCCACAGGTTTATGCACATATTTACAGGTTAAAAATGCAGGCCGCAATGCAATAAGAATCAATATGGGCAGAGTAATGATGACACTAAATGCAGGAAAAAGACATCTCTCTTCCATTATCTGAGAAACTATCAGCATGAGCCGCACACTAGTTGTTTGCCTGCAAGTATTAAAGTGATCGAAAATGTATTACCTCAATGGCATCAACAGTTAGGAGCAGAACAATGATCTTCTCAACAAACCTTTGACGCTCCTCTGCATCATGAGCAACACGACGACGGTAAGAGAAATTATTGAAAAGCGCCCGAATTTCCTTCAACTTAGACTTGGCTACTGCCAGCTCTCTAAGGGCACGAAGAGCCTGGGATCTGCGGATTAGATAAGCTCTGAAGCTCATCTGGATCATTACAGCTGCATCTAGAGGAGACAGCTCCTTCTTCTTTCCCCTCGCTTGCCGGATAGCCCCAGCTCTCTTGGCAAAAGCCTTAACCACAATACATGCAAAAACACGGAAAACCCATCAATCACAGTGACAGTGGAACCGTAACCCCTGACAGCCCAAAAATTTCCACAGAGCCAAATTAAACCAGCACGAGGCAACTCAAGAAAAGAGAACCTAGGTGTAAACCGACGAAGGATGATGGATATTTGTAGGTTCATATGCTACATGAGGAATAAAAATTCTCCCCTGCTCATGTAAGTATCATAAGGAAAAGTAATTTCTAATCAACGAAAAATTCTACCTAACTCAGGGATATCACATTCGGTTTTCTGTTCTTCAACTGCATTATCTGTCTCCGTATGCACTATACTCACTAAATAATGTCCTTCTTCCAAAGAGAAAAATATTTACGATGGAATCACCAGGAAGATGTACAGATCGATCAATCTACAAAGCCTGACCATATGAAATTCATGTTAACAGACAGGAAATAATTTACACCGATCGACATTTTCTGTGATTTGATCATTAATTAGAGAGGACTGCAAGAAACAATTGAAGTTGATCTCGTATACACATAAGTTGTTTCAACTCAGCGGATCCATTACCGCATTCTGAAGAATGATCACAAAGCCAAACCTACTCTTCCAAGTTCTAAAACCCCAGAAACTTAGCAGGGGAAGTATGCCGGCAAAAGTTTGAGCAGAACAGATTAAGTATGAAGCTCGAATTGCATCGGATAGGATATGCTATGACAGCTGAAAACGACGCTCTACTTAAATCGTGCACATGTGCTCGAAAAAGCGTTTCAAAGTCGGTGAAGTAAGTGTCACTATCTGCATCTTCAACATCAAGCCTCAATTAATTAAGGAAACAAAACAAGATAAGCCAGGAACAACATGGACCCAAAAGCAAAGCCAGTCACGAAGAATTAAATCTGTGTATAATGTAAAGCAGCTGCAATGAAAGCTTGAAAATTGCACGACGAACCTGTCTCAAAACTGCAGCTTCATGACGGCTAGGCTCTTCGATCTCCACCACACGCGTGGCGCACTTATCCTCCTTCTTCTTCTCCTTCTTCTTCTCCTTCTTGTGCCTGTGCGATTTGGCGTCGCTATCGTCGGCGTCGCCACCTGTCGACGACTTCCACGTGTACGTCCGCGTGTAACCCTCCTCGCCCTTCTCCTTGATCTCCGAAGTCCACTTATAGCTCTTCGGTCCACCGCGGTGATGGTGAAGATGATGATGGTGATGCTTCTCCTTCTCCTTGTCCTTCTCCTTCTTCCCGGCCTTGATCTCGGCCGTCCACTTGTACTTCCGGTCCGCCTCCCTCCCCTTGATCTCCGCCGTCCAGGTGTACTTCCGATCGGGGGCGCCGCCGCTGCCGCGCGCGGTGACCAGGCGGTCGAACCTGGACTCGAGAGCCGAGACGCGATCGCAGAGGGACTGCAGGAAGTACCGCTCGGGCCTGACTCGCTGGAGGACCCTCCGGTAGGAGCCGAAGGGCGAAGTCCTCTCGATCTGGACCAGGTCCTCGACGGTGTCGAGGAGGTCGAAGGGGCTAGGGTTAGCGGGGCTCAGGAGGTCGAGCGCGAGGCCGATGTCTTCGGGCTCTTCCAGGAACGGAGGGAATGCCAAAACGGAGGAGGTCTCGGCGACGAAGGAGGAGGGCGGGAAGAAGAAGCAAGGGTCCATGATGTCGACTCGCCTGAGTAGACTCATTTCGGCTCGACTCCGGCGGGGGGGGTTCCGGTACGTCGAGCTGGGGCAGGAAAGGCGGATATAAAGGCGGATTTGGCGACGGTGACGATCGGTTTGAGAGGAGTAGCGGGGGAAAGGAGACAAAAGTTTTGAAGGGAACGAGACGAGCCGAAAGGAGGGGTAGAAATGGGAATTCGCGTTGACGGAGTGGGATTGTAAGCTGTAACGGGGAAGATCGGGGGGGAGAGAGCGGTGTCGCCGCGTAATGAGGGGGGCGAAAGGACGGGAATGGCCTTGGCGGGGAGGTGGTATTACGGGGACAGCGAGAATCTATGTGCTCAGCTCAGTGCGATCACAGGTCAAGGTGGATGGACGGAGATTGGGGACCACGTGAAGGTGTCCGACCCGGTGGACCACACCCTCCCACTACCTAATCGCCGCAATTGAGATTGCGATTGGTCTGGTCTGGGGTGGGCTTTCCTGCGTGGAATCCGAGGGTAGGATATTTGCGTCCTTTCTCCGCACCCCCATGATCACCTCCGATGAAAATTGTTGCTCGAGGCATGATGATGATCGAGTGGTTTGGATTAAGGAAAGGATGATTAGTAGATACGGGCCAATTACGTGAAGATGGGCTGCGAATGTCTTCTCTTCGACAAAGAAGGAATCGAGATTTGATCGCACCTGTGAGCGAGAGCTGATTAGTCCATGGGATTATAAAAAGGAAAACTTGTTTGTAGAGGCAATGACCGGGGTAGCTTAATGGGTATGCAACCGAGAATTATCTGATGCATCGGCTATACTTGCAAATCGATTATTAAATTCAGTTAAATCATGATTGCCATGACTAAATTAGTGACCGCTTGACCGGTTCGATTATCAAGTTACACGTAATGCTCGATTCTCATGAGCATTCTCATTGGGTTTATCGTCTGACCCCGATACATTAACTCCACTAAGAAAAAAAAAAAAAAGGAAAATGCTGAATGTCGCCATCTAAAGCCGGTCCTTAATCCGACCTTGCTTTGTAATTTAAAAAAACGCCGAGTAGTTTACCCACCCCAAAAAGAAAAGTTGAGTTGAACGATACTTCAGTGTTGTGCATGTGCATGCACGTTCATTAGAAAAGATAGCTTTTGCTTGTTTTTTTTTTGTGACATTAAATTGATAAAAATTCGCAATGCAGGTGCAAAAAACAGAAATTTAAAAAAAAAGCGATAGGAGAACATTTGCTCGATATCTAAAGCATATTTACTATAATTGCGCGCTTTCTTGAAATTTTATGTTACGAAAAAGCATTAGTGGACCACCCGCCTGGGTGGCGTCGCTGGAGCGGGCGCTCTTCCTCTCGCAAAAGGTTGAGCGTTCGAATCCCGGGCGCCGTAGGGTGACTTAACCGGTGGCATGTGTGTGGTGGCTAGCACGTGTCGCCCCCAGGGTTTACCCCCGGCTGTCGACCGTGCGGGGGTTCCCTGGATTACCAAAAAAAAAAAAAAAACATTAGTGGCTTTCCTTCCCTCCTTAGAGGTTCTGGGTTCGAATCCCCGCTCGGTTCCGTAATTTAAGTGGGGGCCCTGGCGGTGGGTTGCTGGGCTAGTCTCCCCCGAGGTATAGGCGTCCCGATTACCTGTGCAGGCTCGTCCCTAGGGAATGATAGTGGATCCTCGGTTACAAAAAAAAAAAAAAGCATTAGTGGCAAACGTGCGCTTTAAGTGCATTAAAAGTCTTAACATCTTACATTAAGCCTAGTTGAGCTATAAACCCCTAATTTGGTGCAACTAAATCCTAATTATTTTAAAAGTAAACGGTAATCTTTGGAGTCAACTTCTTAATCAACAAGTTTACAAAAGCCTCTATATTTAGGCTAGAGGGTACATGAATAATATAGGTACATTGTACATATGTGTTCATGTGTACTATTAATTGCGGAGGTGATCATGTACATTGAAAAAGGGAATGTATAAAATTATTCATGGAATGGTGAAAAGTGATACATCCACATCATACAATGTATTTATAACACTTCCCCTTGGATGTTCACCTTTTATTATACGTTGTTTAGACTGCCTTATTAAAAAAAAAACTTTGCCAAGAAAAATCCAGTGGGACAAAAACTTGGTGAAGGGAAAAAAAAAAGAGTGCAGTGCAAATAATACTCCCCCTCATTTTAATAGTCATTGCAAGTAGGCTGCCTCATTAAAAACCTTTGACAAGTAAAAACCCCGTGGGAAAAAAACTTGGTAAAGGAAAAGAGTACAGCCATAAACCTTCTGGCTTCCATCCTTCAGGAATGGTTAATTCGCTCCCCTTGATTGAAGTAGTCGTCCGAGCCGATGCATTCCTATTCCATATACAAGATTTTCAAATGTGGAAGTAGGTAGGGATTTAGTGAACAAATCTGCAAGATTGTCACTAGAGCGAATTTGATGGATATCTATTTCACATTTTTCTTGGAGTTCATGCGGGTAAAATAACTTAGGTGAAATATGTTTAGTTTTGTCACTTTTGACAAATCCATCACGTATTTGTGCAATGCAAGCCCAATTTTCCTCAAAAAGTATAGTGGGGGCATCATGAATCAAGGATAAGCCACATGAATCTTGAATGTGATGTATCAAAGTTCTTAACCAAACACATTCTTTGGCAGCTTCAAATAGTGCAATAATCTCATAATGATTTGAGGAAGTAGCAACCATACTTTGTTTTACTGACTTCCATGAAACTGTCGTGCCTCCACAGAGGAACACATAACTAGTCTGTGACTTGGCATTATAAGGATCATACATATATCTAGCATCTGAATATCCCACTAATGTTAAATCTCTATTTCTTTGGTAAAATAAACCAAGATCAATAGTTCCTTGGAGGTAACGTAGGATATGTTTAATGCCATTCTAATGTCTTCGGGTTGGATTGGCACTGTGTCTAACTAGAACATTTACTGCAAATGCAATATCAGGCCCGGTGCAATTTGCAAGATATAACACTGCTCCTATGGCGCTAAGATAAGGAACTTCAGGTCCTAACCTATCCTCTTTTTCCTCTTTAAGTCTAAATGGGTCTTTGTCCACTTCAAGTGAACGGACCACCATTGGTGCACTGAGAGGATGAGATTTATCCATATAAAATGTCTCCAATATCCTTTTTGTATAATTAGACCGGTGCAATAAAACTCATTTTAGGAGGTGCTCAATCTGTAGGCCGAGACAATACTTGGTTTGACCCAAGTCTTTCATTTCAAATTCCTTCTTTAGGCATGAACGAGCTTCTTCCAACTCTTTTGGAGTTTCAGTTATATTTAGGTCATCAACATATACAGATATGATGGCAAAGCTATTTGGTGACCTTTTTATTAATACACAAGGACGTATTATATTGTTTACATATCCCCGCATCAGGAGGTAATCACTTAACCGGTTGTACCACGTTCAACCGGATTGTTTAAGACCATATAATGATCTTTGCAATTTAATACTATACATGTTGTGATTTTCATTCTTTCCCATCTGGGGAATTGGAAATCCTTCGGGGACTTTCATATATATATCAGTGTCAAGTGACCCATACAAATATGCAGTCACAACATCCATTAAGTGCATATTTAGATTTATACTTACTACCATATTGATCAAATAACGGAACGTAATGTTGTCCATTACAGAAGAATAAGTGAGATCAAAGTCTATATCGGGTCTCTGTGAAAACCCTTGGGCAACTAGTCTCGCTTTTTATCTTGCCACCTCATTCTTTTTATTGTATTTTCTTACAAACACCCATTTATATCCAACATGGATAATATTCTTTGGGTGTTTGGACAACATGTCCAAAAGCATAACATTTATTAAGCGAGTCTAGTTCTGCCTTAATTGCCTCCTTCCATTTATTTCAATCTGAACGCTTCTGCAATTCAAGAATGGATTTTGGTTTTGGATCCAAATTATCTTTTGAGACAGTGAGCGCTACTGAGGAGGCAAAGGAGTCGTCGACGACAGTTGTAATTCTATCATATTTTACTCCCGTATTCATATAATTTACTGCAACTTCTATGCTAACATCAACCAAATCCTCTTCGTTTCCCAAATCAATAGTATTTGGCCGTTCCGTATTCCCGGGATTGTTATTTGGGGCAGCTGCACTAATTTCACCGGGATTACATCCCTCTACAGAAGGCGCATTGGGTGACTGAATGTTTTCTCTTTTCTGCGAATTTATGTCTTTAGCCCCTATGGGTCGTCCACGCTTCCGGCGTTGACTAGGCTCGTAAGACATTTTTGGTCCCAAAGGGATCTCCACTTTAGGTGGTGCGTTTTCTGCAGGAATATGGGACTTAGTCACTCCTTTATGATCGGTAAATGCATCTGACAGTTTACTTGCCAAATTTTGCAAGTTAATAATCTTCTGAACTTCAAGTTCAGTTGTGCTTGTACGTGGATCAAGGTAATTCAATTGATCTTCCTTCCGGGAAATTTCACGGCATTCTTTAAGCTTTAGGCTTTCTTCTCCTAATGCCGGGGAAATGTGCCTCATCAAATATACAATCAGCGAACCGAGCAGTAAACAAGTCTCCCGTCTGGGGCTCCAAATATTTTATAATAGATGGAGACTCATATCCCACATAAATACTAAGTCGATGTTGAGGTCCTATTTTGGAACGTTGTGGAGATGGTATAGGAATATATATGATACAACCAAATATTCGCAGATGGGAAACATCATGTTCACATCCATGTACAAGTTGAATCGGGAAGTATTCATGATATGCAGTAGGTTGAATTCCAATCAATGCTGCAACATGCAATATCGCATGTCCCCATAAACTAAAGGGTAATTTGGCCCTCAACAACAACTGTCTAGCAATCATTTTCAAGCAAAAAAAAGTAGTTTCTTGATTCTGGGAACAATAATCGGAAATGGAAAAGAATTTCTTTTTCCTTTTTCTTCTTCTTAGTTTTCTTTTTCTTTTTCTTCTTGGCCTGTGGCTGCTCGCTGGCCCACCAGCGACCAACCACAGGCCAGGGCCGACGAGGTTGTTGCGGTCCTCGCCGGCGAAAGCAGCTCGCGGTCCAGGCGAAGGCTGCCCTCGCTCTCGTCGGATCTGGCGAGAGTGGCAGCGTCCAGCCCTCACCAGATCTAGCGAGGGCTCGGCGACCCTCGCCTAGGCGATGAGGGTCCAGCCCTCGCACGGCCCTAGCCTGTGGCCGATCGCCGGCGCCGGTGGCTAGTCGCCAATGCCGACAACCTAGCCATGGCCAAGGAAGGGGAAGGGGAAGGGGAAGGAAAAAAAAGGAAAGAAATATTAAAAAATTCAAAATATTATTAATAAAAAGAAATTTTGTGCAGTTACCAAACGCATATTTGTTCTTTTTTTATTCAAGAATAGAAATTTTGGGCAGTTACCAAACGCCTTCAAATTCTTAGAAATTGTTTCCGGGTACGGAATAAAAAAGAATCATTTCTGAGCAGAATTAGTTTCCGGGAACAAATGGTTGTTAAGGGTGCGTTTGGTAACCAATCTATTCCCGAAAATAATTTTTGCTCAGAAATGATTCTTTTTAATTTCATTCCCAAAAACAATTTCTAAGCATCTGTAGGCGTTTGGTAACTGCACAAAATTTCTTTTTATTAATAATTTTTTTAATTTTTAAATTTTTCTTTCTTTTTTATTTTTCCTTTTTTTTTTCTTCTTCTTCCCCTTCCTTGGCCATGCCCATGTCGCCAGTGCCAGCAACCGGCAACCGGCCACAGGCCAGGGTCGACAAGGGCGTCGCGGCCCTCGCCGGCTCCGGCGAGGGCTGGACCCTCGTGGCCTAGGCGAGGGCCGCCCTCGCCTAATCAGCGAGGGTCACCTTGCATATGACCCATTCAGTGAGGGCGGCCCTCGCTCAGGCAGCGAGGGTCCAGCCCTCGCTCTCGTCGGCCATAGGCCAGGAAGAAAACGAAGAAGAAGAAAAAAAAAATTATTTTCCATATCTGATTCTTGTTCCTTTTTGTTTTTTGATTCTGTTCCAAAACTGATTCTGGAAACAAATTTGTGCCCAGGAACAAAAAATTTACCAAATGGATTTTTGTTGCAAAATTGATTCTGGAAATAAAAGAATAGAATCATTTATTATTTTGCCAGTTAGGGCGCGCATGATAACCATTCTGTTTCTCTATTTTTCTATTTTTTTTTGTTCCTAAGAACAGGTTTGGAACAGAAATTAGTTTGGCAACACAATTTCATTTTTCAATTTATGAAACAAATTTCTACTCTAGAAATAGGTTTGGAACAGAAATCATAAGTAAATTTTTTTAACTTTTCTATTTTTGGAACATAAATGAAAAATAAAAACTCTTCTCATCACTTGCCCTCACTACTAGCCGGCCGCCTCCCACTGTTGACCGCCGCCTCCCACCATCGACCGTCACCTCCCGCCGCCGCCCAACACGGGCCACCTCCCACCGCCGCTCACCTCTCGTCGCAGCCCAACATCACACACCCCCCGCCGCCACCCAACATCGCCCACCTCCGGCCGTCGTCCACCCGCCAGCTGCCTCCCGTCATCGTCCTCCACCGCCAACACCCTCCGCCGCCGGCCACCTCCACCGCTCAATGCCGGCTACCTCTAACCGCCGCCTGCCTCCCATCGTCGTCTTCCGCCACCAACCGCCTCCCGCCATCGCCCACTGTTCACCGCCTCCCGCTCAGGAAGGAGAAATTTTGTGTCGTTATCAAACGAATTTCTATTTCTGGCCAAAATTTGATTTTTGGAACAGAACGATTATCATTCGCGCTCCTATCAAACGCAGCCTAAAATTCTATGTGGGCAAAAGAGAAGGGGTTAAGATTAAGGAAAGGAAGATTAGATATTGGCCAGTTACGTGAGGATGGGATGCGAATGTCTTCTCTTTGAAAGAAGAAAGGATCGAGATTGATCCCACGCTACGCACCCGTGAGCGAAAGCTGATTAGTCTCCATTCGATTATAAAAAGGAAAACTTGTTTGTAAAAGCAATGACTGAGGTAGCTTAATGAGTATGGTTGTGAATTGATTATTAGATTCGGTTAAATCATGCTTACTAAAGATATGGTCCCTACCGCTTTCGTCGCTCTCCGATATCTACTACAGGGAAGCCCAAATCGCGTCCTGTACGCGAATTTATTAATGAACCATGATGTGATTTGTACATGATATGGTTATATTCGATTAGTGACTTGTCAATTATCAAATTGCACATAATGCTCTGTTCCTGCAAGCATTTTTATAGGACTTATCGTCCAACACCGACATGTTAACTCCACTTAGAAAACGGAAAAGAAAAAGGAAAATGCTGAATGTGGCCAGCTAAAGCCGGTCCTTAATCCGACTTTGCTTTATAATCTAAAAAAGGCCGAGTAGTTTACCCACCCCAAAAAGAAAATTTGAGTTGACCGATACTTCGGTGTTGTGCATGTGCATGCACGTTCACTAGAAAAGATAACTTTTTGCTTGGTTTTTTGTGACATAAAATTGATAAAAATACGCAATGCAGGTGCAAAAACACAGAAATTAAAAATAAATAAATAGCAGAACATTCCTCAATATGTCTCGAGATCAATAGATTGCTTCTAAGTGATCACTGATTAGCTTGTTAGTTATTTTTGCTCGAGATCTGAAATATATTTACTATAATTGCACATTTTCTTGAAATTTTACATTATGAATAAGCATTAGTGGCAAACAAAGTGCATTAAAAGTTTTAAAATCTTGTATTGATGCTAGTTGAGCTACAAACCCCTAAATTATTGCAACCAAATCGCGAATCAATTCTAACATGTATAATTAAGTCTGCTCATTGATATAATCAAATAAACGACAATCTACCATTCGAAAATTAATAATTGGTAGATTGTGATTGTTAACTATACCTTTCGATAAATGTTAACAATTTGATTGTCAATGAAAAGGTCCACTTCATTTTTAGCACGGTTTTAATTACATGGATAAGTAACTTGGAAATTAATTGCCTTCCTAAATATGGTCGAGAATTTCGGGGCAATGTCCTTGCTTTTTTTTTTCTCTGGACCTGTTTCTAAAATAAAAAGTAACGGGTTGTTTGTATCCACTTATGAAAAAAATTAAAATATACATATCAATATATGTATATATATCATAAAATATTGATGTGCTTTAACATTTAAAACAAGTCAAAGATATACCCTTGAGATTTCTAAAAAGTCAAAAAGTAAGAAATGAAGGACGCTCCAAACAAATTAACTTTTTCGCTTTCCGGCAAAAGTTTTGATTACTATCTACATTTTAAAAAGTATTAGGAAATTATATATTAACTCGTGTCTCGATATATATAAATAAAGATAATAACACAAACAGTCTCTAAATCAATATAGTCCCCGAACTTCAATTGTTCAATATAATTTATGAACTTTAGCTTAGTGTTTAATGTGACATCTAAACTTATAATTCGTTTAATATGGTCTCTAGATTTTGGTGCATGTTTAATGTCGTCACTGAATTATACGAAAATGTTTGATGTAATCCCTAAAATTGAACATGTATAAAAAATTCAAAGATGACATTGAATAAATTAAAAGTTTATTGATTACACTGCACACTGTATTAAAGTTCATAAATCACATTGAACAAATTAAATGTTTAGGAACCACATTTCATATTATGTTAAAGTTCAAAGGTTGTTTGTGTCATTTTTCCATATAAATATGAAAATTATAGTTGATTAAAGTTACAAAAAGTTCAAAAAATTTGAGTAATAAGACTCGAATAACAGATAAAAAAGTTCCCACTTATATTTTTTGTCATGAACAAAAATGGAAGTGGAAAACCAAAATTGGGGCATGAATCCCTACAAGAAGATTCTCCATTGTTGATCCTCTGGAGCTAGCTGGGTTCGTAGTACAATCCCAGCATAAGAAGATCCCTCTCGAGATGGATTCGATCACCGTCGAAACCCTAGAACTCGTCCCCTGATCGCCATGGGCGTATTGAAGAGCAGCTTCTCGTTCCTGACCGGGATCGCCTGCGGGATATACGTGGCTCAGAATTACAACGTTCCCGACGTGAGGAAGCTCGCCAGCACGGCCATTTTCCTGGCCAATCTCTTCGAGGAGAAGTACCGCAAGCCCAAGAAGCCTGGCGATGATGATTGACGAGGGTCGTCGGTTTTCGGGTGTAAAGTCGACGCCTTTGCCGATTTCTTTGTCGAAGGAGGCTCGACAATTGAAACGGCAGTCAATCTGATGGTTTGAGCCAGTACTGGACTGAGAAAGGTTCGCACTGTTAGCAGATTTTTGGTTACTTCGTTCTGCATTGGATGGCTTTGTTTTGGATATAGTTTGTCATATCATGGATTTTATAGCTTCTGTTATTGTTTTTTAATTTCCTCTGCGAGGTAGAACAAATCACCTGAAAGGTGGAATGATGAAATTTGAATATCTGACTAGTGTTATTCCCGGTTGTAAGTAAGTGCGTAGAAGAAGTGGCATATGGATAAAGATATTTTTTTTTTCCAAAATCAAAAGAGTGATTGGGTTGAAATGAAAAATAAAGGATTTCGAATCCATCTGCTAACCCTATAACGAATATAAACTAATTCCATTGTAAAGGAGAGGATAGAGAGTCCAGTGGAAGTTGCCAATTTCAATCTGTTGATTATTTGTGTGACCCTTTGATCGAGACATGTAGCGTTGATGATTGTATATCCTGCCCATCCGTGCTTTGAAAGGCCTTCTTTCTACAAATCATGTCTGAGTAGATTATTATGGACGTCCTCGATGATGCCGTCTTGATTTGCTGTATACGACTGATATTGTCCAGATGATGAACGGTTTTATTTATGTTATCTCCTCACAGTCTCGGAGATGAAGTGAATAGACGGTTCATACTTTAAAAACTAAGCAATCATGTATGATCTTTAGATTAATTACAGAGATTGGCTCTTGGAAATGAGTCCTTTGACGGGTTATATTAAATAGCTAGATGAACTGATCCTATTGTCATGTCCGCTTTTATCCTGATGTCAAATGCTAAAGAAGAGCAGTGACTTTTACTTTGAAGTGTTCCGATGCAGAGGGGGAGATGTTAACACGGGAAGAGGTCAATGGTGATGTTAGGCATGGAAGATGTCTTGCCATGGAATGGTCATGGGACAGCTGTTGTCTGTTTTTTGAGTTTGTGTCCCTATTGGTTTACAAAGAACAAGCTGGGTTTACATGAGATGCAATTCCATCATTTAACTAAGTAGTTTGCAGGAGGAAGACAAGCACCAGCTAACTTGCAAATATATGTAGTATGTGCAAAGAATGTGCAGACATAGGTGGTTATGCGTTGGGACTTGCTTTTCCTTATCTGTGTTTATAATTTGTGAAATCACTGATGGACTTTATAAGTAGAAGATGAAAATACAAGTGACTCCTTTCATACTGGGAAGGCAAACGATGGAAATGTGGGGCATTGATCGTTGGAGGGTTCAGGATGTTGTTATCTTAACTACTTGATGAGAGGGCAAACCAGTTGGTGAATAAATGTCAAGAATCACTCATGAAGTGTCAGGGGAGTTGATGGACAAGGGGTAAATTGTGGCATTTGTCTTGACTTTTTTTGGCATTAGAAATCGTAAAAGATACACACGTTCGTTGGTCTAAAATTCATTTAGAAGGTGCTAATTTGATAATAGGATGTCATCTTTTTCTGTTTTTCTGTTGGAACAAGCAGTCAGCGTTTTGAGAAACCCTTCCCTTCTTGGCAAGCAGATTTAATAGGAACATACTCTTCATTCTTCCTATGAAAAGAGGGATCTGTTTTCTCCCTTTCGTTTTCTTGACATGAATGATGGTCGTGAGATTTTCCATTTTGCCAGTATAATTGATAGGTACATTCCTTGTTTTTAATTGCTCTCCTAGGTAGATGATATCCTTTCCCGTGGACCTTAAGTGGTGGAAACGATAGTTCTACTTGTACTTAGGCTATTCTACATACTTAATTCTCTTTTCATTCACACTCTCTGTCGGTTTCAACAATTAAGCATGTATTGAAGTCTGACTTCTTACATCCCCTCTTATACAGTTGGATTTGGAAGAGGGATATCTACTTATATTAGGAGCTTGTGGGAAATTGCAGTTCATTGATTTCATACCATGATGCTTGAGTTGCTGCTAGATGACTGAACTTGTCGGAGGATGAAAAAAGACAGTGGACAGTGGGTCAGGATGGAAAAAGTGCAATTCCTTTTAGATTCATGTTCATTCTGGACTAGGGCTGGAGATGCAAATCAAGCCCATCCCTAGCTGATTAGCCGTGATACATGTTTGTTTTGTACTATTGGATTATCTTGACCTTCAAGGCAGGATTCATGTTATCCATGCTGCTGTCAAGAGAATGGCTAGTCATGCTAATAGTAAGGCTCCGTTCGTTTGGCGAAAAATATTCTCCTTTTAGAAAATATTTTCCCGGAAGTCATTTTCCTGGAAAATATTTTCCCGGAACATAATTTTCCGGTGTTCGGCGACCAATATGAAAAAGTTTCGGAAAATATTTTTTGCCGGCGGCGGCCGGTGACCGGTTGCGGCGGCCGGCCCGGCCGGCGCGGCGACCGGCGGCGGCGGCGACCGGCGGCGGCCGGCGGCGGCCGCGCGGCGACCTTAGTGAAGAAGAAGAAGAAGAAGCTCCGGAAAATGATTTCTGCTTTTGAAGAAGCGGAAGTCATTTTCCATAGACTTTGGCTATTTTGTGAGGGGGGGAAGGAAAATATTGTCCCACGGAAAACGTTTTCCGCCCCCCGAATATCGGAAAACCTGGAAAATATTTTCCGGGAGAATATTTTCCGCCAAACGAACGGAGCCTAAGTGGCTATTCAAACATCAACAATTGCATTTACGTGTGTGAGATTTTGTGAGACCGCTGCCAACTATTTTAAAAGCTTAAACAGTTAGATGAAAGCGTGGTTTAATATTTAATTAATCTAACACTCCTCACGCTTAGTCTGGTCTTTTTGCCTAGGGCTAGGCGTTGACATATTTAATTGGGGAGGCAAATGGGGCCTGGAAAGATTTGAATTCAGAACCTCCGGCTTTGATACCGTATAAGATTTTGTGGGATTACTGCCAACTGTTCTAAAAGTTTAAGTTGTTAGATGAAGACGCGGTTCAATATTTAATTATTCTAACAACATGTATACAAGCAAAGGGTATTGCTAGGATCCAGTGCCCCAAGGGAATGTCCCACTCTCCCTTCACGTGATGCATGAGTTGTGCTAACTGAACTTATGCGACAAATCTTTGCGGGCCCAATTCCAACCTGTCCAATTGTTGACGATGCAAATGTGCGACTCTGCCAATGTATTAACCGAGGTTGTGAGATCGTTATGGTCTATATTAAGGCAACTCTAAATTACTTGCTCACTTTTCTCGTGCTTTGTGAGAGGAAACCTTTGAAAACTCTTTAAACCAAGACCGCAATGCTTCCTTCAATTCATGCCTGGTAGTCTAGAGCTGCATGCGGTGGATTTTCCGTTTTTCAGCAGTCGTCTGGATAATTTTAATGTGATTTTGTGTTCCCAAGCAGAACAAATTCTTCTATCTAGTATTTTACAAGCCACAAGGGCCACTTCCATCAGTTTCTGCCATAAAAACATGAACATGGAGACAAAAAGTGGTCCATCAAGCTTCATTGGAGATTTTCCTCCTTCCTATTCTTAGATAGAATGCTACATATGTCACATCAAGCAAACAGGGCAACTTCCACCGAGTTGTTCCATTTCTTGCCAGCTTCCAAATGTTGGAGAAGCCCTTGAAAGACCATCTTCTCGACTTCTCCGACTACTTCTCCCTTCGGGGTCTCCGCCAAAGAGACACGAGAGGGGCTTCCCCCTCATCCTGTAATCGTTGGATGAAGTAGGAGAGTCACCGGACCACTTTGCAAGAATCAAACGCAGGATTAAAATTTCCCGTCAAAGTTTTAATTTACATCATGTTTCAAGTGCTGTCAGGGGAGATCTTGATGAAGTCTCTCCTTGTGCCTCGACTGTTCGAACTTTGCAGCGACTTCAGCCACCACGAGTTTTGTGAGGAACAACCCCGCGACTAAAGCTGCAGACATCAGCATTGTGAAAACAGCGCTCCAGCTCTTGGCGGATATATAACCTGTCAACAGAGGTCCAATTGCAGCTCCAACAGAGCCTGTCCCATCTATGATGGCAGTAACAGTTGCCAGCGCCCTTGAGTTCCCTTTTAAAGAGCTGTGGGTTCCCAAGTCGGCCGAGACCGCTGTTGTTATGAGAGCGTAGGGTCCGTTCACAAACATACCCGTGATGAACATGAGAGCCATGTTCATGGTCAACGAGAGGTGGCCGTAGCTTCTATAGAAGAAGAGAGCGGGGATGGCACAGTACATGAAACTTGCAGCTGTTATTGCCCTGGCATTGAGGTGGTCAGAAATGTGACCAGCTAGAATTCCGCCCACGATCCCTCCAATGTCGAACAATGTAGACAGATTTCCGGCAGCCCCACTGGATAAATACTTGCCGTCTATAGCTGCAAGGAGGAGGGATTGCGTAAGCAGCAAGCACAGATAGCGGTGAACCTATTAATAGATCTTTAACGAACCTTAAGAAACAAGGGGTAAAGAAGAACCTAACAATGCATTTTCTCTTCAGGCAAAATGTAGTATTGTGTATTTAGTGATTTTCATGGCAATTGAATTGAAACACAAGTATACGTTAAATGATCACCGCCATAGTTGAAAAGATCGTCGAAACAGCGATAATGAGGTATGAGAAAGTGTACCTGTATGGCTAATGTAGAAAGGAAGCCAATAGAGGAAAGTGTAAGCAACCAATTTGGCGAAGAAGAGGCAAAATGCAAAAGGCGCCACTCCTGGAATCCTCCATGCTTCCATGAACCCTACAGCTTTTTCCTCTTCATCTGACTCTGAACTCAACAAAGGTTCCTTCATGCTCTCGCCATTTTTCCTAGGTGAATGCAACTCATCTATGTCTCTCGCAGCTCCAACAGATTCAGGACTGACCGGCAGAAACAAGAAAACGACCAAACCGATAAATGCAGTTGCAAGACCAGGCACAACAAATGACCAGCCCCATCCATAGCTCAGCATAGCAGAAGCGATCAAAGAACCCAAAATGTTGCCAAGAGAAGTGTGAGCATTCCATATGCCCATGATCAACCCTCTCTTGCTCTTGCCAAACCAGTTACCAACCACAGCAACGACCGAAGGCCATCCTGTTGACTGGAACAGACCGGCAAGCACTTGGATGATTAAGAAATAATAAAAGCTATGAATGTTAGCCCAGTATCCTGCACCGAATAGCGATGTGAACAAGCCAGTTCCAATCATTCCAACCGTTAGGAATATTCTCAAATTCATTCGATCACCCAAGTGCCCTGAGAAGTACATTCCAATAGCATACACCGCGAGGAAAGCAACATCGAGCTGACCGAGCAATGCAGTGCCATCCAATCCGTTAAACGGAGCCCAACCATTTCCTAGCGTCGATGATAATGCCGTGCTTGCAGGTGGGTCAAAGAAGTAACTGGCCTTCCATGGGACAAGTTTCAATCCCACATCAGGCGACTGGGGATCGAGGGCGCTTTTCACGACACTGGTGGTTTTCCGAGCGGCATGGTAGCTCGTGTAGGCGAGGAAAGTAACGACCAAGACGATGGCTTGGTGACTTCGATAGGGAAGACTACCTTTCTTTACGTGCTCTACGAAACGAATCCCGAGCGGCTTGGTGCGATTGCTATCAGGGACTGGTTCTGGAAGTGATCCCATGTTGGATTTTCACTCTGAGAAAGAGGAAGGAAGAAATCACTCCCCCGTTAGAAACCAGATACAGGAGCTGGAATTGGGTGAAAAGCAGGACAAAAAGAATTCATCAGAAACCCCGTGGAATCTTCATCAGAACAGAGCAAGGTTCCAATGGACAAGAAACAAGCGCAAGATTAAAGAAAATCCAAGATATATTGTGGGAATCGAGCAAAAGGCCTTCCATTTTCTGCGAACATCCGCCATCTGAACCTTCGACATCATTAATGCCCACGAGTTCATTCGATTTCACAATCCTCGCAGATCTAGTTCAAGGCAAATTCTCGAAGCTCGAGAGCGTCAGAGTCGGCCGAATGAGGAAACTTCAATACTCAACTGATCCAAATGTTTCGATCGAGGAAAAACACGACCAACAACACAATCGAATGATGAAATCGCGGCGGTTATGGTCGTCAGAACAAATCATATCCCCCAATATCGGGGGAATACGCGGACTGTCTGAACATCAACAAAAACAAAAACTTACTTAAACCCACACGAAACTCGACCTCGGCTTCTGACCAAACTTTCCCAACATAAAGTCAACGACGCCACGTCCAGAAAAACACGCGAATCCGCCTAAACAAGAAATGGAAGCGAAGCACGCACAACACGGTCGAGAAAAAGAACCCAAAGAAGAAAGGTCGAAAACAGCCGAATTGAATACCTGCCCTTCCTCGGTCGCGGCGCGGTCGATTCCTGTCTCTCGCGAGAAGAAGCGATCGAATCTGCGCTCGAGTCTCGAAGCTTTTCCGCGGTTTGCTTGAACCGTACGAAAGGAGGAAGGAAGCCGAGAGAGCTTGTCGAAGCTTTGAAGAAAGCAGCGGGAGCCGAGAGACTCCTTTTTAAGCTGGTGCGCGACCACCGAACGACGACGACGACGTCGAGAACGACAACGACGTCCTCATGGCTCCCGCCGAAATACCGTTTTTGCCCCTGGCTCGGCTGCTTCTTTTTCACCCTCGGGGGAGATTTACGGGGATGCCCTTCGTTGGAGAGA